CTTTCAGTGGAGAAATTGCAAAGATGGCTAAAATTGGTATAGAAACTGATATACGACAGATATGCCTACCTGTTGAACCAAGGTGATTATCATTTCACATTATTAGAAGTCTCAAATCAGCACATAATAAAAATTTGTAATAATGTTATTATTACTTTTCAGTATTAAATTTTAATATGTATTCCATTCATTTTGCAGAAAAAGATATATTTACTGTTTTCACTCTCCTGATGGACCAGGATTAAATACTCCACTAACTATAGATTATTCAGGAACATATTTTAGGTAAAAATCATTTGTCAAACAAAAACATTTTTTTTAGTAAATATTACTTCATATTTTTATTGTATTAAGTTTTTACAGAGATATACTCTTCAATTTCATTTTACCAGAAATAAATTTTCGAGAAATGAAACTATAATCTCATAAATTATTAGATTTATCGTTAATGAAAGTTATCTCGTAACTCAATAGTTAAGGATATATTGTTAATGCAAATTGATAATTTTCGCCAATTTTTACGAATATTAACTAACTACATCTTTATCTCCGCAATTAATCATGCGAATATAAATTTATTTTTATTTACCACAAAGGATCTTCTAAAATAATGTTTTTGTTAGCTCGAAAATCTATTTTTATTATTTGAAAATTGAAAATAAGCTTTTGTTTGCTGTTTTCATGGGAAAACGTTATTTAATTATAATTGAACATTTGAAAAAAATATTGTTCCTCTAAATGTTTCCTTGGTAATATGTCTATTTTTTGTTGGCGATTCATTTGAAAATTAATATTGTAAAGCACCTATTCAGGTGGAAGACTGAGATGGGCGGGAACTTTTACGATGAGTAGATCACGCTTTTGTTAAGCAAGTTTATTCCAACAAAATTTCCTTATTGAAAAATGTTTTTGATTTAATTCTTTTTGTGGAATATGAGAAAGTGTTTTAAGTAAATGTTGTTGGATTAAACGAGCTCCATTTAAAAAATGCAAAAATTTGGTTAAACCATTCCATGTAAAAAATGAAGGGACTTCACTTATCTATTACTAAACCATAAAAATTGCAGAAAGGATTTCTTCACTGTCTTTTATAATTTCGAAGAAAACAACTTATATATAACACTTGATATGATACATCCATTACATTATTGTATACTTTACATTATGGTTATCCATTTGATACATAAAATCATATGTTTATTATTAATTAAATTTTAATATTT